TTCACTATGTATAAAAGAAAAAGGAGTTGATCAAAATGAACTAAATCCTATTGTACCACTTCCTGAAACAACAGTTCAAGGTGTGTGGCTATCAGTTTTAGCTCTTGGGAGTTAGATCAATCTTACAAGAGAGGAACAAAATCAAACATTACTGTTATTACAATTGTTGAGCCACCCCAAATTATCAGACAGAGCCGCTGGCAAATTGGTTATAGTGAAAAATCCATTATTGTTGCAAGGAGCTTTTAATGAGGACCATACAAGCTCTTTGGAAGATGCCTGACGATTTGGAATGTCAGAATATTACACACAGGTACTGAGTTTGTATAGAGATAATAAATGCAGAGACAAAAAAGTAGACACACATAATTAAAATAAATGAATTAAAATGACCTTATGCTATATTTCTAGCTAAACTTGTCACCTCTTCCTTAGAATGACTTGATTCCTGAAGCTAAAGTTTCTTCCTTGCTTTCTTTGATGTTTTTCCCTGCTTCTTGTAGATGTTTTCCTTTTATCACAGGAGAGCAGTGTTGCTTTTCTCCTTTTTCCTACCCTCTCTATGTTCTTCTTGATGGTCTGCTTTCTGCCAGAGAACTGTGCCCAGATTCAGAAGAACAAAGGCTTCTTCCTAAATAGTAGGAGAGGGGTTGCGGGACAGAGTCCATATCACTCAGAGTGAGCACTGATTGATTGATTGATTGATCGAAAACTCTGATGCTGCCTACCTGTGATTTGGACTGGTCAGCTATCAAGTCAACTTTGAAGGCTGCCTTTCAGAAGAAATACAGATGGAAAAATTAGATCCGTGAAATTGATGAGATGGTGGCTTGATGTAAAAAATGGTTAATATCACAAATTTGGTTAGAGGTGTATTGTAGCCACATGGAAACTAGCATGTAGCATTAATTATTTTTATTTTTATTCTATTCTCTTCCCCCTCCCTCCCAGCATCTCCTGCTTCTCTACCCTTCCTCTACAGGCTGACCCAACTTTTCCATCAAGCCCGTCTGGCTTTATTTTCTCCAAGCAGAAGGCTTCCTGTTCAACACTAACTAGCTGTACAGTATTGTCATCTCTGGATACCATGAAACACTTCCCAGCCAGTTAAGGTGACTCAACAGTTTGGGGACAATGCTGAGCACAAAGCTACAGGAGTTTCCTCCAGGACTAAGAATCTCTTCTGAAGATGGATGTTGCTGGATGAAATCCAAGAGTCAACGTAAACTGGTGTCTCTTGTATTGGAATGTGCTGCTGTGCTCATAAAGCCATCCCTGTTCAGAAGTGTGTTCTGTTTAGGCGAGTGATGCTTGCTTCCAAGTAAATATTGAGATCAAGGTGTGACAGACTATTTCAGTGTTTTTTTTAATCTTCACTTCCCCAAAGAGACATTAAACATTTTCTATCTGGGAAAGATCGTGCCTGCCTCTCCTCTCCTGGTACACATTTGTCATGCAGAAGTTCTGCCTCCATTAATCAGCTTTCTCTACCTGGCTGCCTCCAGATGGGGTGGACAACAGCGCCCATTCATCAGGTCACTGGGAATGATTACTGACATCCCCAGAGAGCAACCAGCTGGTGCAGACTCCGCTTAAAAACCATGAGTGTTTTTGCTAAGGGAAGGGAAGTAGTTCCAGGGAAAGAAGAGAAGCCATATCAGGCGATATGGTTTTCTCTTTAACTTTTGTGGCTGAGCTGCCGGTGCAGCAAGCAAAGTATGAAATGGTTAATCACCTTAATCCTAACCTTCCTTTCCTCCCTTCCCCCATCAGAGCTCCTAGGCCTCTTTGTGGTGGCCTGACTTGGCAGGGAAGTCCTTACTAATCAGCAATAACAGACTCTTGTAATCTTCATTATGGGCAGGTCCTTATCTAAGTGCTGTACTGAATTGTTTTTGGCAACTTGTTTGCTCATTATTTTGTAAGGGTTAGAATTGATAAAAATGAACCATTTTCAGCATGGGAGAAGTTTGCAAATGGGGTTATGATGTTTAAACCAGTTATTATCCCCATTTAATGTATATTTAAGATTAAAAGAAGTGAATTGGTTTTGTTTGTTTGGCATCTTCCGTCATCTTTGCCTTTTATCAAAGAGAAGTCAGCAGAACAGAGTGGAGTATTATCAAGGCAAGATACCCACTTATAATGTTCTCTTATTTTGCCTTCAAGTCACCCTTGATTCTTGGCAGCTTCATGGACAAATGCCTGTGGTTTTCTAGGCAACATTTTCAGAAGCAGTTTGTTCTTGTATCCTTCCTGGGGCTGAACAAGAGTGACTGGCCCAAGGTCACTCAGTTGGCTTCCATGTATAAGGCAGGACTAGAACTCAGAATTCCCCACTCCTAGTCCAATGCCTTAACCACTAGACCAGTGTTTCTTAACCTTGGCAACTTTAAGATGTGTGGACTTCAACTCTCAGAATTCTGGGAGTTGAAGTCCACATATCTTAAAGTTTCCAAGGTTGAGAAACACTGCACTAGACCAAACTGGCCCATATCTGCACTGATTGCAGAAGTACAGTATTTCCACACATTAGAAAGCTACATTTTTATTTTACTCAGAGTGCAAAACATCTGATCACAAAGAATGCTGATGGATATTTTTACCCAGTCAGCTGTTTTTATCTGTTTTGAACACAATGTTGCCCAGAGTCAAAATGAATGCCAAAGTTGGGCAGCCTTACAAATCTAATAAATGAAATGAAACATCTATTCTTCTTCTTCTGTAATGCCGATCTGTACCCCAGTTTTTGTTTTGACTTTGTCTATGCAATTGCAGTATACAAATTGCAGTGTATTTTGACCTCTCCCTCTTGTATGCAGCATACTGCATAGTTTACAAGCTAAAGACAGTGCTAAGTGGAAGCCCTGGGATGAAACACTGAGCAAACAACAACCCTAGCTAAAGCGGAGCTTACAAAGCAGAGCAAAAACAAAATCAGCTGAAAACCTGCCAAACCAGAAAGGTCTGAAGGCTTCAGTGGGTTGGCAATGGAACTCCAGACAGCCTAGATAGCTGAACTGTTTAAAAATGTTCATATTGTGTGCATTTTATTTAAAAGACTATGCACTGTTAAAAAAGAGATGAGCAGGCACTAAAGAGGTGAAGCTGCTTGACATGAAATGATGAGGAACCATGTTTATGTATGCTTTCAGTCAGAGGTTCCTAAGCTTTTTGTCATCATACCTCCCTTTAGTGTATTCTTAATATACCCACCTCCCCTAAAAATCCAAACACCAAAATGAACACACACAATTAATACAATGGAACTTTGAGAAAGGTGGATTCACTGTAACTCCAGTGGGGCAAAAAAGTATTTAGTCAGCCACCAATTGTGCAAGTTCTCCCACTTAAAA